CGGTGGTTAACGGCTTGGTGACATCTGTGTGGCTGGAACACAAAGGCTTCCGCCAGACCCCAGACCCTTATCTTGAGCCTGTTTATCTCAGTCAATTTAAAGCACTATCCTCCCCTAAACCCTTATCGTCGGCATTGTTTCCTTTGGGCCTGCTCTATAGGTTCTATAGAACCTTCCTTTGTGGAAGATGTCACATGTACTTTACAAAGTCTTTGATGTAGCCATGCCTTAATTTGATCATGTTCTCAGGATTGAGTTTGTTATCACCAGGAAATTTTTTTTTCACCAAATTGACAGTCCTTAAATATGCCTAAAATAAACCACCTGGAGTCAGACTCTAAATTTGAACCAGAGTTGTGTTAGGCCAGATTTCCTTCCTGCCTCTCACAGATCCACATGTTGTTTCCAGAGACTACCCGAATGTCCCAACTGGATTGGCAAAAACAAAGATCAAAAAATATTTCCAATCTTAGATAAAATCAATTCATTCTATTTTTGTATAACTTGAAACCAACAGATGACTCGTTTTAAAATATGTTAACTGAAATACAGCTACCTCACTTTCCACAATCATTTTCCCCATCCAGCTCCTCCCAGCTACTCTCCCATACCCTCCACTCTAAAGTAAATAGCTTTTGGCATTCATGCTTATTATTCATACTTTGTATGTATGTATGTATGTATATATGTATGTATGTATGTATGTGTGTGTACGTATGTGTGTATGTATGTGTATATGCAAATATATATATAAACACAACCTGATGAGTGCATTTTTGTTCTTTGTGTGTGTGGTTTCAAGGCTGAACACTCTGCATTGGACAACCAGTAAGGGGTCATATCTCTGGGAAAGGCTAACTCTCCCTCTCCTGCCAATTGCCTATAGTTCTTGGTGTAGTGGTGGGACCCTGCAAAATTTCCCCCTCCTATGTTAACATGTCCACTGATATTGCCATTCTTCCAATATTGTTTATGCAGCCATTTCTTTTTTTTTATTTTGATTGACAACACAACCTTTTAGCATTTTTATTAAAATAAAACTTAATGTTGTAAACCATGTAATAAAGTAGATATTTCATGATGTGCTTGCCAAGTTATAGACATGGATGAAGAGACCACAAGAAATGATAATCCACTATCAATAAGCAAGTGCCCTGTAGGCAGAGCTGAGTACTGTAACAGTCAAGTTGACTGAAAACCAGAGTGAATCCTTGATATCATGGAGATCTGAGGTTAAATTGTAGCAAGACAGCTTCTGACCATCACTGATCCCAAGTTTAACCAGTCAAAAATTCAGGCTGGGAAGGTAGCTCATTGGCAGAGATCTTGATGAGCATGTACAGTGCTCTAAGTTAAATTACCAGTGAGAGAAACAGAATGGGGAAGATATTTCCACATTGTTAGCTATTATAAAGCTCTGGGGCGGGATTTTCTTTGGCCCTGGTGATGGTTATTTACTTAGAATCTCGTTCCCTTTCAGAGGCCTCTTTATCAAGTAGGGGCTCATTGTGTCATCCATCACAAAGTCATACAGCACCTTCACCCAGGTGTGACGTGGGAGCTCATCGTAGTACTCAGCTGCGACTTTCCCCACCTGTGGAAGACGACTTCCAGGAACACTGGGGAAGTCATGATGTTCGTTGTGATAGCCTCTGTTGAACATGAAAAGGTTGAGAGGCCCATAATATGAGTTTGTGTCTTGCCCCTTTAAGAGCATGTAGTGATCAGCTATAAAATGCCCAGAAATTGGGTTCAAACCCAGGCCAAGTAGGGAGGCCAACATGTAGACTAAAGATTTAATTCCAAAAACATAGTAAACTATAATGTTAAAAGTGATCTGGGTCACAATATTGATAGTTTCCAGATAAGTAACTGGTTTGGGGTTGACGAAGTAAGGTCTAAGAAAAAGAAACAAAGGCTGAAAAACAACCCATATAAGCTTCCTGAAAGTGGTGCAGGAGAACCAGACCTCAAAGTCAGAAGGAGCGTCCACATCAATGCCAGCAGCTCCAAGGTATGGGTGGTGATCTATGTGATACAGTTTATAGGAAATTGAATATGGAACCCCAAAAGGGAGATTAGTAAATATTCCAAACCAGCGCTTCCACAGAGCCCTGTGGTGGCCAAAGGGGAAATGTGGGAAATCTCATGGATAGCCAGAGTCACTGAGTGGTTAATGGAGCTTATGCAGACATTTCTAAAAGACGGTTTCATAGTAGACTTCCTAGTAGTCTGGCTCTTCCAACCTTTCTGCCCACTCATCTTCAATGTTCCCTGAGCCCTAGATGCAGGGGCTATGGTGCAGTTACAGCTATTGGGGTTGGATTTTTTTCATTGCATGTTTAAGAGAAAAAAAAACATACAAAAGTAACTAAACTTGGGCTGGAAAGATGGCTCAGTCATTAAGAGCACTGACTGCTCTTCCAGAGGTCCTAAGTTCAATTCCCAGCAACCACATGGTGGCTCACAACCATCTGTAATGGGAGCTGATGCCCTCTTCTGGTGTGTCTGAAGACAGGGACAATATACTTGTATACATTAAATAAATAAATAAATAAATAAATAAATAAATAAATAAATAAATAAATTTTTTTAAGTAACTAAACTTAATAATGACTCCCAGGATGATATTTGCTCAAGATATTTTCTTGGGGTCTCCTCTAAATAAGTCAACTTCTTAATACACTGAAAATATTATATCACAAATACATGATTTTTAAGTTTTTAAACAACATAGCCTCTGCAAAAAGAATGTGCTCAAAAATTGAAAACCATTTTAGTCCTCTAGATCCTCAAAAGTCCCTCAAGCATGTGGCTTACTTCCAGGAGAAACAGATAACTTGGGACCATTCTCCACACTCATCAGAGCAGACAAGGCAGTGGATTCACACGGCCTTTGAACACGGCCTTTGATGTGAGTCTTCTTAGCACATAGTGGTTGGGGAGGCAGTGCTCAGTTAGTTCAAGAGTCACAAGGAAAAGGTTTTGCAATTCCAACCCAAGCTGTTTCCATCTGGCATTTTCCTGCATGGGCAAACCTCTTCAGCTTCATCTCGACATATCTACTGTTATCTCTCTGAAAGCTTTATCACATTTTTTAAAAATGCCGTTTCACACAGTTCAGAACACTTCTCTCTCTCTCTCTCTCTCTCTCTCTCTCTCTCTCTCTCTCTCTCTCACACACACACACACACACACACACACATACACACACACACACACACACACACACACACACCAAAAAAAAAATCATCATATGATCTCTAGGAAATTGGTTATATTTTTATCATGAACAAAAACTAGGAAATTTATGTTACTAAGTATGTATGAGTCTCATACATACTTATTAACAAGCCATGATAAAGATTACCTACACAGTGTATACACAGCATAACTAAGGATAAACACACACGTGCTCGAGCCTTTTGACCTCCACACTCATGCCATGTCACATGGACACACAGACATGTGCATGCACACACACACACACACACACACACCATCATCCTTGAATGAATGAATGAATGAATGAATGAATGAATGAATGAATGAATGAACGTAAATAAATGACACTTTTAAAAACCTTTATAAACTTTTAAAAAGCTATTCAAGTTGTCATTGTCTGGCATTTTTAGTCCCTTCACACAATCCACATCTGTCACATTGCTAGTTAAAACTGCAGTTTTGAAAACTAGGTAAGATAAGTTCAGTTACACAAAAGTGAGTCTAAGTTCCTTGTGTATCTGAATTGTGGCAATATACTAACACTAATATTGGCTGCTATTTCCTATCAGGCATTCTCCTAAGTTCATTAAAGGTATTGTTACTCATATATTAATCACAACAATTCTATAAAATAATTACTACTCTTACACAATAGAACAGAAAATCATATAATCAGTAAGAGACAGGAAACCAACCTGACACCAAAATCAGAATTCTTATCTTTGAATCACCTGACTTTGCAGTCCTAGTATCTAACTCTGCCTCCGTGTGTCTAGCTGTGACTATTGGCATTCCTACAGTGGCTAATCACCTGACCCTTCTTCCCTTTTTTCCCATTCCTTTGATGATGGAATTGGCACAAGGGGCCATGAAAAGGGCCTAAACAGGGCTAATGACAATCCCTTTCAGAGACTGAAATATACCCTGAGAGATAGATAACCCCTCATCACCTAGGATTGCAGGTATGGTGGCAGACTGTGTCATTTGTTTCACTAACCTGACATCTGAAACACCTGCTTATGTATGAGCAATCTACCACTTCAGCAATAAAGTATAAATTCATTTTAAAAGATAGGCATTTGAAAGGTGGTGGGGATGGAAAAGGTTCAGTGTTTAAAAGGGATTGCAGCTCTTCCAGAGGTCCTGAGTTCAGTTCCCAGCACTCATGCCATACAGCTCACAAAAACCTGTATTTCCATCTCCCACTCCCTCTTCTGGCAGTTTCAGATGCCTGCATACTTAGAATAGATGCATATACATACATAAAAATAGTCTTTAAAGAAAGAAGACAACTGCACCAGATAGTGTTGTGTAGCTGCTTCCTCTGAGGCTGAACCTTTCCATCCTACAGGGAAACTCCTTAAGAAGGAAGAAGGTAAACAACTCAAAATAGCTTCAGGAAGTCCCTGAAACTGACCAGATTCACTGGGCCACTCCCTACCAGTAAGCTAAACCAAGCTTCAAAGAAGACTCTGAGGCCAGACCACCTGCCAGGAAGAAGCAGAAACCAGCCAAGCTGCCTGGAAGAGGTTTAGACCAACTGAGTCACTTGGAAAGGACACCCTCTAACCTGCTGAGCTGAGTGTAGACTGTACAGTGTTCCCAGCTTTGTGAGATGTCACCTGTCCTGGGGTGGGCTTTAGAGTCATTTCTACTCCTCACCCATATTCTTATAAGTAACCCAAATAAAGCTCACTGGTTCACCAAGTTGGTCTTTGGTGATGTCTTAGGTAGGGTTTCTATTGCTGCAACAAAACACCATGACCAAAAGCAAGTTGGAGAGGAAAGGGTTTATTTGGCTTATATTTCTAGATCATAGTCTACCATTGGAGGGAGTCAGGACAAGAACTCAAGCAGGACTGGGACCTGGAGGCAGGAGCTGATGCAGAGGCCACAGAGGGGTGCTCCTTACTGGCTTGCTCCCTCTGGCTCACTCACCCTGCTGTCTTATAGAACCCAGGACTATCAGCCCAGGGATTGCATCACCCACAAGGAGCTTGGGCCCTCCACCATTGATCACTAATGGAGAAAATGTACAACAGCTGGATCTCATGGAGGCAGCTCCTCCCTCAACTGAAGCTTCTTTCTCTGTGATGACTCTAGCTTATGTCAAATTGACACACACAAAAACCAGCCAGTGCAGGGGATACCAATACTTTGGTCTGTCATATGATCCCTGTCTGGGTGAGTAGACATGTGTTGCTTCTTCCCAGGAAAAGTTTTGTCACACAACAAATAGTCGCATAGTCACTTTCTCTCTCTCTCTCTCTCTCTCTCTCTCTCTCTCTCTCTCTCTCTCTCGTTCTTTCGTTTTGTTTTTTGATTCTTCAGCTGACAGTAAGAGGGTTTATTGTACACGAGTTACACTTGGGCACAAGAGAAAACAGAACTAGTCCAGAATGCCAGAGGTCCAGGGCAGAGTGCCAGCGGGACTGTTTTTGGTTATAAGAAAGGCAGTCATTTTCCCAGGTGATCTCAGCGAGGTGACGACATTCCTTGTCTACTGAGACTTAGTACCGACAGCAGCATACAGTCCAACAACTTGTTCCCGGTGTCCTGGCCTTCAGCATCCCTCACTTATGCTCCGCCAGGCTTCACGGGTGCACAAGCTGGTATTACTTGGACCTCTGCCTCATCTTTCTTCTCTTGCGCTTCAGCCTGTGCATTCTCTTCTTCCGCCACTTCACTCTCATGGCGCATTAGTCAAGGAAGATGGCGCTAAGACCGAGAAGCAGATAGTCACTTTCAAAGTCCATTGTAGCTACAGTACAAGTGGAAACTGAAGGCACACAGATTTCTGGTGTTTATTAGAAGTTAATGACTCACAATAGCCTGCAGATCCATGTTGTCACAAAGGAGTGTCCTTGCGTTTTGAAGGCTACTCTAGTATTCCCTTTAAGATATGTGGATCATACCTCTTTCTTCAGCTATTGACAGATCTGTGGGTTGCTTTTAAATTTTCATTCTTGTAAAGAGCATTACAATGAGCAAGGTGTCTCTTTGACACACTAATTTCATTTCCTTTGGATATGTACCCAGAAGTGAGATTGTCAAATATATATATATATATATGGTAGTTCTATATTTAACAATCTTCATTCCATTCTCCACACTGGTTGTATAAATTCATATCCCTATAAACAAAATAAACATACATTAAAACATAACATCGTATCCCATAAATGTGTACACTTACCATTTGTTTAATAAAATCACTAAAAATAAAACTCTTTTTTAAAAAAAAAAAACACCTGATAACGCTGAAAAAGAAAAGAAAACCAGGTTTAGTTTAGACCCAAAGACGTAGAGACTATATAAATCTGTGTCTCGAGAAGGTGACATGGGGCAGCATCTACATCCAAGAAGGAAAGGGGCTATAAGGCTAGCCACATTGTTTAATGTTTGCATCCAGTGTTGCTCCAAACAGAAGAGGGTATCATGGCCACTTCCATGTACCAATGTACATGTACAGCTCAATGAAGGAAGCCTGAGAAAAACCCATGGTGTGACTCTAACGTGTATTGTACAGCTTATCCCCCAGCCTTCATGTCTAGGCCATGAGCTAGATAGACCTTTTGGAATAACTATCTTCTAATTAAAATAGCCATTTATTTTCTGGCGTCTGAAACTAAAATCCAGCCTTAGTTTGCTGACCACTGCCCTACTAACAGCTGAGCACAGATAAGGTAACAGAGAACAACACTCGTTAGTAAGTAATCTTTCAGTTAAAGAAGTGTGAACCCCAAGATTGTGGTGTCGTGAGAGCTGTGTTCATTTGGGGGAGTTCTCCAGGGGAATCTAGGGTCCCGCTTTGGCCACACATGAGAAGTTTCTCCCTTCCCTTTGGAAGTTAGCGGTATTATATATCTCTCTGACCATTTCTTATCCATTTGACTCCTTTCTCTTCCCTTCCCTTCCACCTTTGTGGATCCTTGGGAATCCATCTGGATAAGCTACTTACCCTAGGTAAGTTTATTAGCAATCTTAATTTCAGTTGCAATTCTAACTCCCCTTTGTTGTGTCATCTAATTCACTAATAAATCTTAGCAATTGGGATATAGATGTCTTTGTGGGATATATGCTACCAGCACATCCTAAAGTATGTAGTTCTATGAGGTATGCTCACTCTACAAGTACAGACTCTTAAGGTAATGGGGCAACTTAGAATTAGAATCTGGTCTGACTGGTTGACCAAAATAACAGCCCACTTGATATTAATGAATGGAATTCCCATAGTCACCTACATGGGGAGGTCACTGTAGAAAAGCTCTAAGAGCCAGAGTTACATAAAGGAGAGGGGTACCACAAGGACAGTGAACAAGAGGTAACAATTTTTCCTGGCATTGGATGGCCCAAAAGAAGATAAAATATTGTAGTCAGAATGTCCCCCCACAGGATCAATGTGTTTCAGCTCTTGACCCCACTCAGACCTGGGCCTGGAGGTAGGATCTAGTTGAAGAAAGTGGACACTAGGGGTGGGTCTTGGGTTTCCTCAGCCTGGACCACTTTTGGTCACCTACCTCTTGATGACTTCACAACAATATGACAAGCTACATCGGATTCCTGCCACGTCCTGTCATGGCTTCTGCAGCACAGTGAACGGCGTCCTCCCAGATTGTGAGTGTCCTTTCTTACACTGCCTCTTGCCGGGTGTTTGGCCACAGCGATGAGGAGAGAAGTTAATACAGAAGAGTGTGTTTAAAACCCCAAGTGACCTACAAATGATCAGTTTGACTTGTTACAGCTATAGTCAGTTACCTCGTGCATACGTCCTATGAGAATCTCCTATTGTAGACTGTGACATTCCTCACAGTGCTGCCACCACCTCCACCAAAGCTTCCCACAGATTCCTCTTAAATGTTGCCAAGTTGCAGTGTGATGAGACTGAAAGTCTAAGGAAATTCCTTGAGTAAAACTAAGGGTGGTGATGATAAAACAAAACAAACAAACAAACAAAACAACCTTGGACTCCCAAAGGTTTGGAAGACAGATACCTTGGAAGATTCAGATGGCTCACACTATATCAGATCTAGCCCTTTCTAAGGCTAAGAGAAGCCTTCAGCCCCCCTTTAATAAAACTGCTTCCTCATTGTTTGGAAGTCTTATGAGGCTGGGCGGTGGTGGCGCACACTTTTAGTCCCAGCACTTGGGAGGCAGGGGCAGGCGGATTTCTGAGTTTGAGGCCAGCCTGGTCTACAGAGTGAGTTCCAGGACAACCAGGGCTACACAGAGAAACCCTGTCTCAAAAAAAAAAAAAAAAAAAAAAAAA